GATCTATTGAAGAAAAGTAAAAATCGAAACTTGGAAGATGTTCACTACACTTCATCAAACACTTATTGAACAGTTGTCTAGCTTAGAGGCTGCATGAGTGGCCTGTTTTGCAATGTATTGGTATTGTCAGCAATATACAATAGAGGAAGCTTATCTATTTATTCCACAGTTCAGTACCTCTGTAGGCCTACGGACTTTTAAAGCAAGTAGTGAAGGAGGTGTTCGTTACATCAGCAGGCCTATTTTACGATTTTCTGAATAATTTGACCCACACTCGAAAGGGTCACGTCGGTTTATATACAACTATTTTCCGAAAGACTGTTTTAACTTACATTATTATTTTCGCAAAAATGCCTCGACAAATTCTGAGTTCGGAAAAAATGTGTCTCTGATAAGAAGAAGGAGAGCCACTATAGTGAATTTTGTAATCCATTAACTTCAATCTTTGGTAATTTCCATATTTGAGGATGTCTCCGATCAAACTGGTTTAAATTTCGAACTTTTGCATAAGCAGAAGGATATTCATAACAATTACGAATTAAATTTTAATTAAGCGAATTGACAATCTATGTATTTGCTGGTTATGTCATCAACATTACGCTCGTTGGAATGTTTGCATTACATTAAGAAGAAAAGATAATATTCATGTTATTATATTATATTTTGCAAGAAATAGATATTGTAATACTCTATGCCTAATGTAATGTGATGGGACTCAAGTGATAACCCTAATACGTTAAAAAAAAGTGATGATAAATATCGTAAATTGCTAAAATTATAAAACACTATAATAATCTTGTAACCTATAAATTTGAAGCTCCGTATAAACACCATTAAATTTCCTTGACAAAAAACTGTTGTATGCCCATATATAGTCATGATGTGCCTATATATGGTCATAATATGATGTCATCATGACCATATTTAGGCATGTCACATATTTGTCAAATAAAATATCTTAAGAACGGATCGAGCGAAGATCCAACACCACTGCATTGCACAAAGAGGTCAAGTTGAATGTTTAATCATTGAAAGATAATAAACCCATTCTGTCTAATATATATAATATATAAACGTGGCAATAAAGAAAATCTTATTTTATCTTATCTTATCTTATAATTATAGGCCAAGGCCTATATATATATATATATATATATATATATATATATATATATATACATATATATATATATATATATATATA